GCTAACCAACTAGAAACACTAATTAAGCTAACTATTATGATACCTGAAATGAGCTAACTAACTATTCTAAGCTAATTAATTATTACAAACCAGAATCGAATAACTAGTTATAGTAACTAATTAATTACAACACTTGCAAGAATTAGCTACAACTAATTAAATAAGTAAGGCGACTAAATGGCCTCGTGGACGAGGGATGCATGCTCGGTTCCTCTACCTGAAAAAGCCACCGTCTTGCTGCTGTGAGCCTCTGTTTGCGCATATTTAAGCACTGAAAATTGTGCCACCTTCTAGAATGCCTCTACTTCAACTTACAAACACACTGTGCAATTTTTATTGGTGGTCGACAGGGGGCCTGTCAGCTACCACTGGTGGCCGGTCGGCCACTGATGACAAGAACTGCTCCTTTTGCTGCAACGGAGAGCAGACAGAGCAAAGAGTATATTCTCAAGGATTGTCTGTATTGTTACTCTCCTTATCATCAAACAAGCTCAAAGGAGTGTAACCCTTGGCCCTTAAACCATCAACCAAGTATTTTCCTGCATGATGGCTAAGGAACCAAGCTTGTATAAGCTTAATGAATGCACTAACAAGACCAAAACAACCACCACCCTATCATGCATGATCAAGGGTGACGGTAACCAAGGAAAGTGGCACATTTCATCACTTCGAGTATGAAATGTCCCATTTTCCTCGTGTTTGAATTAACGTTCGATCCAAACACATGCAATGCAACACATAAGATGCTTATTTTGCCTCTCTTACTTGTCCATTTTTTGTTTACTCATTTTAGATTACCAATCCATTCTTTAATTGGTTAAGTCCAAAAGTGAGTGTCCTTTAATGGAAATTGGACTTAAACCACAAGTTACTTTGGGCATGAAAGAGACCTCATGCCGTTGGTAATGAACCCTGAATGGGATTAAACCATTAAGCACCAATGTCTCAATTTCACACTTAAGCAAGCAAGGGGTTTAAAACCACTTTCAAAGCAAATAAAAGAGTGAAGAATCAAGGAGGTTGCCGAAATTTCAATGCTGAAATGGAGTGCAAAACAACACTAAAACATGCTTTCAACTCAAAGCAATAATGAACAAAGCATTAAAAGTCCAATCTAATGAAAGAATTAACACTACAACCATGCCATACAAGGCTCAAAGGGCTTAACCAGCCCAAAAAAAGAGATAAAACAAGTCAAAATAGTTGGAAAAACATGCTGGACCAAAGCTAAGTTAGGCTATAAAAACATGTTAACAGGTAAGGCAACTAGGCATGCAAGTAAGACAACAAGGAGGGGAGGCTAACCCCTTCAATTTTGGACATCAAAAGGAGGTTTTCGCCACTGAAAAACCTCTGAGATTTAGTGGTTAAAAGGCCCAAAAAGTTTGATTTGAATGTAAATAAAAATAGCACAAAAAGCTTCACAAGCTACGGAGCCAAAAATGTGGGGGTGGGGGGGGGAGGGACAACCCCCTAACTCACAAAGACTCAAGCCACCATTTTTATGCCTCAAAAATAGAGTTTTTTACACCTCAAAAACAACCTTAAAACAATTGGAAAAGATGGGAAAATAAGTATGCACAATAAGCTTAAACTAAGGTAAGTTCTCTACCTTTGAAGCACAGCACAAAACAGCCACAAATTCAAGCTCAAACCCCCTTCCAAGGCTCAAACAAAGCTCTAAGGGACCTCAGCTCAAAGGTGAGAGTGTTTGGTCAAGGGTTGATGTGTAACAGTGTAGAGAAACTAAGCAAATGTATGCAAAATAGCAAAAGATAACAAGTGAAAGAGAGAAAGCTAGAGAGAGAGAGAGAGAGAGAAATTTTTTGTGTAAAATGTCTAACCCCTTAAAATGAGGGAGGACACCCCCTATATATAGAAAATCAAGTCTTGAGCTTGAATACATCCTACCATACATGTGTATGAAGATGCAGCTCAGTGAGCAACAGCTGGCACAGCTGGCAACAAATATCCAGAAATATCTGGAAAAAGAGACTAGTGGCTGTCGGCCACATCCATGGCCGACAGGCTTATCCCATGGCCAACAGCCTTGGGGGGTGGCCAACAGGCCACCAAGAGATCCAGACACGAAGTTTTGGTCCAAAACAAGGCAGAGAAAGAATAAGGTTCAAAGGTTCAAAGACAGGGCATTTCGTCGAGGATGTATGGTAGGATGTACAAACGATGAAGTCTAAGTCTTAAGGACGGTCAGAAATGGGGTGTCTACATAAGCCAGCGTGTATTTCTGTTTGATGATAATTGGACGCATCTGAACTCCAAGTGGGATGTCTACCATAGAAGATAGAGTTGCTAAAGCATTCGCGCACCTGTTGTTCTCTCTTAATAGATGTGTGAATGTCAGTTTTTCAAGCCTAGGAATCAAAACATCCAGGGTCTAATGGTAAACCTTCATCTTCTCTTCTTTTACTTTCCAGTCTCCATTTGCTTGGGAGACAACCAAGTTGTGTGTCCCCAATAACATCCAACCTTATTGCCCCTAGTTCTAGGGCAGCTTCTAGACCAGCAATACACGCTTCGTATTCTGTTTCGCTGTTGGACACCTTGAACTGGAGTTTGAAGGCTAAAGATATATGGGAGTCGTCGGGTGCTATCAGCAACACACATATCCCATAAACGTACTGATTAGGCGCTCCATTAAAGTACATTGTCCAAGTTTGCTCTTCAACTTGTAGAATGTCTTCATTTGGGAACAGGTATTCCACTGCCTCATCTCCTTCTACTGGGTGGTCTACCAGGAACTTTGCTACAACTCTTCCTTTAACCTACTTGTGGGTGATATATTTGAGATCCAATTCGGAGAAAAGAAGCAACCAATGAGCCAGTCTACTCATAAGCGCTGGTTTCTCAAAGAGATATTTGATGGGATCAAATCTTGAAATCAGGATTACAGAGTGAGCTAACAAGTAGTGCCTCAACTTCCTGGTAGCCCATTCCAAGGCTAGGCAAGCTTTCTCCAAATGAGTGTAGCAGGTCTCATAGTCTAGCATTTTCTTGCTCAAGTAGTAGATGGCTTTTTCAACCCTATCTTCAGATTCATGAGCTTGCATACATCGCATGGTCGTATCTGTCACTGACAAGTACAAAATCAAAGGTTTCCCCAACTTCGGCGGCGATGACATAGACGGGTTCTGGAGGTACTGCTTAACCTATTAAAAGGTAAACTGACACCAATCATCCCATCAGAATTTATTCCCTTTCTTCAGGAGACCAAATAGTGGTTCATAAGTCTGTGGACTTGACTTTCTTCACGCCCCCTTTCGGAGAGCTCGAATTGGTCCTACAGTTCGGACTCCTGTCACGGTTCTGAATCTAATCTCACAAAGTGCAATGTGAGACTGATAAACACCAAAGAGTCCAATCCGGCAAATCATTTTGGAAAATCGATTTTGAATCAAATAATGCCAAAACTGGACTACTTTGCCAGATTACAGAGTTGCCACCTAAATTTTTTATTTTTGGGTAATTTAGGAAACCCTGACTTGTGCTAAAGGCCACGTGTCCGTCATCACCAAAGTTGCCTCGGCTTGGGAACTTGGGTACAAGAGGGGAAGGTCCTGAAATGAGCACCCCCGCTCGCCCAATCAAAGGATCGGCCTCTATTAAGTATGATATGTTGTTTTATAAACCTCATATGTTCTTATCCGATTATTAGCTAACTTTACTATGTGACGCACACAAGCAAGTATAGACTAAATCGCAAGAATTGGAACAAATCAATTCATGTTTGTTTTCGAAAAATGGTTTGAAGTGCCACCCTCAAGTGGGCTAAAGCACGGATTTGCCACCCTCAAGTGGGCTTAAAACACGATGATTTGCCACTTCGCGAAGTGGCTTAAAACTCACATTCATCGAATTGTTCCAATTCAAGTAATAAAGCCTTCATCCACAGGCATTCATGTAGTTAATCATTTAAGCATATAGCCTCATGGCATGCATGCGATCATGGAAACACTCACACTTATGCAAGTATGCTAAAGTGTAAAACTTACAGTGTACTCCGAGCTAAAACAAAAGGTAGTTAGAAATATGCATGATCCTAACTATACAAGATGCCTAATGCAATAATGCAATAAGATAGGCTCAACTATCTAAGATGGCATATGAATGCAACAATTTGATACACGTATTCAAATAAGTATTGCAATACAATGTAGTTTCAATGATGCGCTGAGTCCGGTGCATGCAAGACAAATGAATGATCACTACAACAAAAAAGGCCTTTGGTGACAGATTGATTTTGTCTCCAAACATCAAATTTTCGTCACTAAAGTGATTTGCGACGAAAAAAATTTGTCACCACGTTCGTGGCCTATACGTCGTCCCTGAAAGTACCTAGTGACGAAAAACAGTTTCGTCGCCTATTTTTTATTTTTGGCGACGACATGTTTCGTCGCCAAATGTTGAATTTTTCATCCTCTATAACATCAATTTCGTCACCAAAACTAAATAATATTTTATTTTAAATGTTTTTCGCGACAAAATATTTCACCACCAAATAGATTTTAGTGACGAAAGTTTTCCTCACCAATGATATGGATTAAGGTGACAAAAAAATTCGTCACTAAAATGTGCAGAAAAGAAAATTCTTCAATGACAAAAAACATTTTGTCACAAAATATTTCAATTTAGTGACGAAATATTCAGCAAATGTGACGAAATTATTTGTTTGGTATTATATCATTAGTGACAAAATTATTCGTCATGTTTTTTGAAAACTAAAAGCGACATTTTTTATTTCGTCACTAATAAAAATTAAAAAATTTGAAAATGGGGGTACTATTTTCTTCCGAAATTTTTTCCAGTAATAATTCCCTGCGTATTTCAATAACCTATTCAATAAAATATCTATTGCAAATCAATACAAGAATCTGTTCATTTTCATAAACGTCACAATTGAATTTCAGCACTATCCACAAAAATACAATATAAACTGCATGCAGATTATAAACATGTCTCCTAATATCCACAAACAACGTCTACTAATATCCACAAAAATATCATATCAACCGCATGCGGATTACCAAACACATCTCCTAATATCCAACAACAAAACATGTCTACTAATATCAACAAAAATAAAATATCAAGGGCAGATTACCCAACATGCCCTGTAATACCAACAAAAATATAAAATTTACAATGCAACCAAAATACATATAAGGTAATATGAATAAAAATACAAAATGAGCTACCATCTGCCCTCCAAATTACCAACCATGTCCATATCAAATATCGAATCTGCAAAAAAATGAAACACAAAAAAGAAAAAAAAAATGCAAGTTAGACAATTATTATCTTATCCATAAAATATACAATTTAACATGCATTTTTTTGAATTAGTTTTCAAATCGGAAGTCCGGTGCAAGTTCCGCAAGTTTTCACAACTTACATTTGTCCCTCCCGACATGTTTGAGGTGTTTCCCAGGCCGTCCCGTGGCTGTTGCACAATTTTGGCCCCCGAATGTGTTTTTTTCAAGCTTAAGCATGAAAAAGTGCAATTTTGGACTTAGTTTTTAAACCGGGAGTCCCGTGCTAGTTCCGTAAGTTTCCACAACTTACATTGGTCCCTTCCGAGGTGTTTGAGGTGTTTCCCGAGCCATCTCGTGGCTGTTGCACGATTTTGGCCTCCCATGGCCTATTTTCATTTTTAAGCGTGAAAAGGTGCATTTTTGGACTTAGTTTTCAAACTGCAACTCTCGTGCTAATTTCGTAAGTTTTCAAAACTCACATTGGTCCCTCTCGAGGTGTTCGAGGTGTTCCCCAGGCCGTCTCGTGGCTGTTGCACGATTTTGGCCTCCGATAGCCTATTTTTAAGCTTAAGTGTGAAAAAGTTCATTTTTCGACTTAGTTTTCAAACCGGGAGTCCCGTGCTAGTTCTGTAAATTTTCACAACTCACATTGGCCCCTTCTGAGGTGTTTGAGGTGTTCCCCAGGCCGCCTCGTGGCTGTTGCACAATTTTGGCTCTCGATGGCCTACTTTGAAGCTTAAGTGTGAAAAAGTGCAATTTTTGACTTAGTTTTCAAACCGGGAGTCCCGTGCTAGTTCCATAAGTTTTCACAACTCACATTGGTCCCTCTCAAGGTGTTTGACATGTTCTCTAGGCTGTCTCGTGGCTGTTGCATGATTTTGGCCTCCGATGGCCTATTTTCAAGCTTAAGTGTGAAAAAGTTCATTTTTTGACTTAGTTTTCAAACCGGGAGTCCCGTCCTAGTTTCGTAAGTTTCCACGACTCACATTGGTCCCTCCCGTGGTGTTTGCGATATTCCCTGGGCTGTCTCATGGCTGTTGCATGATTTTGGCCTCCGATGGCCTATTTTCAAGTTTAAGTGTGAAAAAATGTATTTTTCGACTTAGTTTTCAAACGGGGAGTCCCATGCTAGTTCCGTAAGTTTTCACAACTCACATTGGTCCCTTCCAAGGTGTTTGACGTGTTCCCCGGGTCGTCTCGTGGCTGTTGCACAATTTTGGCCTCCGATGGCCTATTTTCAAGCTTAAGTGTGAAAAAGTTCATCATTTTTTGACTTAGTTTTCAAACCGGGAGTCCCGTGCTAGTTCTGTAAGTTTTCACAGCTCACATTGGTCCCTCCCGAGCTGTTTAAGGTGTTTCCCGGGCCGTCTCATGGGTATTGCACGATTTTGGCCTCCGATGGCCTATTTTCAAGCTTAAGTGTGAAAAAGTGCATTTTTCGACTTAGTTTTCAAACCGGGAGTCCCGTGCTAGTTTCGTAAATTTTCACAACTCACATTGGTCTCTCCCGAGGTGTTTGACATGTTCCCCAGGCCGTCTCATGGCTGTTGCATGATTTTAGCCTCCGATGACCTATTTTCAAGCTTAAGTGTGAAAAAGTGCCTTTTTGAACTTAGTTTTTGAACCGGGAGTCCCGTGCTAATTCCGTAAGTTTCCACAACTCACATTGGTCCCTCCCGAGGTGTTTGAGGTGTTACCTGGGCTGTCTTGTGGCTGTTGCACGATTTTGGCCTCTGATGGCATATTTTCAATCTTAAGCGTGAAAAAGTACATTTTTAGACTTACTTTTCAAACCGGAACTCTCGTGCTAGTTCCGTAAGTTTTCATAACTCACATTGGTCCCTCCCAAGCTGTTTGAGGTGTTACCTAGGCCGTCTTATTGCTGTTGCACGATTTTGGCCTCCGATGCCCTATTTTCAAGCTTAAGTGTGAGAAAGTGCATTTTTGGACTTAGAGGTTGTTTGGGATGATCTAAATAAGTGCACTTCTTGACTTTTTATGAAATATGGGTTGGGTTTGAAGTGATATGGTAGAGAGATGATATGACTTAGTTAAGATAATGCAATTTAAATAGGATGGTGACTTTTTGACTTTTTGGCTTTTTTAGAGGATGTCAAACCTAGCCTTAGCTTTCAAACTGGGAGTCCCGTGCTAGTTTCGTAAGTTTTCACAACTCACATTGGTCACTCCCGAAGTGTTTGAGGTGTTACCCGGGCCGTCTCGTGGCTGTTGCACGATTTTGGCCTCCGATCGCCTATTTTCAAGCTTAAGTGTGAAAAAGTATATTTTTGGACTTAGTTTTCAAACCAAGAGTCCCGTGCTAGTTTCGTAAGTTTACACAAGCTACAATGGTCCCTACCGAGGTGTTTGAGGTGTTCCCCGGACTTTGTCGTGGTTGTTTCACGATTTTCGGCCTCGATGGACTATTTTCAAGCTTAAGTGTTGGAAAAGTTTATTTTTTTGACTTAGTTTTCAAAGTGAAAGTCCCGTGTTAGTTCCTTAAGTTTTCACAACTTACATTGATCCCTCCCGATGTGTTTGAGGTGGTCCCCGGGCCTTCTCGTGGAGGTTACACGATTTTGGCCCCCAATGGCCTATTTTTAAGCCTAAGTGTTGGAAAAAGTGTATTTTTTGACTTAGTTTTCAAACTGGGAATCCCGTGCTAGTTCTGTAAGTTTTCACAATTTACATTGGTCCCTCCCGAGGTGTTTGAGGTGTTTCCCAAGCCTTCTCGTGGCTGTTACATGATTTTGGCTCCCCGATTGCCTATTTTCAAGCTTACTCAATCATAAGTGTTGGAAAAATGTATTTTTCGACTTAGTTTTCAAACCGGGAGTCTCGTGCTAGTTCCGTAAGTTTCCAAAACTTACACTGGTCCCTCTCGAGGTGTTCAGGGTGTTCCCCAGGCCTTCTCGTGGTTGTTACACGATTTTGGCTCCCCGGTGACCTATTTTCAAGCCTAAGTATTGGAAAAGTGCATTTTTTGACTTAGTTTTCAACTGGGAGTCCCATGTTAGTTCTATAAGTTTTTACAAGTTACAATGGTCCCAAAATATTGCAAGTATTTTGGTTCAATAATATTGCAAGTATTTTTAGGCTGTAGCGGTTTGTGAGTTTTCTCCCTGTTCTCCCAATTCTATTTTATATCACTCAGTGCATAGCATCTTACCACGAGGCATCCCTCAGCTGATTCACCTCCCACCAACCACACAAATCTCTCTCTCTCTCTCTCTCTCTCTCTCTAATTTCCTGTTTTCCTTTTTCTTTTTAACACATGTGTTCCCAAGATTACCAAATATACACTTACTAAGAAGGAAAAGCATTGCCAAATATACAAGCTACACATATTAAAGAACCTATTTTGCGTCTAGAGAAACCAAGGAAAAAGAACATACTCTGCAATTATTCCAGTGCAAAGAAATTTGTCTTCCTTTAGTTTAGAAAAATAGTAAATAAGATATGTAGATAAGGTTTACAAGCAGGTACAAAATGTTTTCCATAAGAAACCCGAATTCCAAGAAAAAATAAACACCTAATTTTAATACTAGTTTTCAAGCATCTCTTTGCAGTATTCTAACATAGACAAAGAAATGGAAACTACTTCTTGAAATACTGGCACTTCAAATAATTTGCAGTCCAAAGTCATTTTCATGAAAATGGGTATAACTGGCTTCCTAGGAACAAAATATAGTTCAGTGCTCATGTTAATTATCACTTCACATAGAAATTGGTGGTTTCAAACTATTAACACATGCAATACAATTACTCTAGTGCAAAGAAATTTGTGTTGCTTTGGTGTAGAAAAAAATTAAATAAGTTATGTAGAATGGTTAGATTTTCAAGCATTCTTTTGTAGCAGCACTCTAATGCTGACATACAAATGGAAACCATTCTAAAATTACATGCTTCATCTTCATGATTAGGTAGAATAGGTACTACTGGCTCCCTAAGAACAAAAATATAGTTCAGTCATCATGTTAATTATCACTTAAAATAGAACTTGATGGTTTCAAACCACTATTAATGAGATGAGATGAACTCATTATTTCATTAACGTTGGGGAATATCATCTTAAAATAATACAAAATAGATACTACAGAAGATAGAAGCAAAGTATATAACTTTGGGTTAGTTTGCATTTATGATAAAGCATACCTCTAGGTTGCTTTTCCTCCTCTACGAACGGCACATCAAATAATGTTTCAGCAGAATCATTCTTAGGTAACCCTGACATGCTAGAAATTTCGTTCTCCTTCTGTTTGCAGTTAATAAGAGATGCATCAGAATTATGTCCAGATGCATTCAATGAGATTCCATTTTCACATGAAACTCTCGTACTGTCTGAGTTATTAAGTTCCATTGAGAAACTTCTCTCTGATTTGTTGGACTTTAATCCAGAAACTTTGCTGTCAGATACTTCTCGAAGAGGTGATCCAATTGGATTGGGAAGTTGTTCACACATAACCAGAACAGACACCATAGCCTACATTACATGGACTCGGGTACGGATGTCGGGTGCGGGTATGTATCTAGAGGTCGGACTCATCAAACCATAAATTTAAGGGTACGTGGACTCGGCAAAAATATGTCATATTTTTACATTTTTAATTAAGTATATGCGATAAAAATGGTGCTATATGTAACTTATAGTGTTAAGAAGACATTTATAGCAATTATACAATAATATATACATATAATAACAGTGTTATATATAATTATATGAGAAGTGTCCGTTGAAAAGTAGCCGACATATATCCCATACCCTTGTCTGAGTGTCGGGTGTCCGACATGAGTATTTGATTTATTTTGAAGAGTCCATGTAACATAGACCATAGTTGTACTCTCCAAAACCTTTGTCAAGGGACAGCGACGATTTTTCCGTTTTAAGAACTCGTGAACATGGGCCACTTGAGATCTCTTACTTTTCAATGATGATACTATACTCGTTTGCCAAAAGGTAAAGATAACCAAAAATATAACAGCACAAAATTAGCCAGAGAGCTTATTTCCAACAAGAAAATTTGTCACTGTTATGAACAAATTCAGCAACCTGCAGCTTGGGACAAATACATCCATACCATAACCAAACAAGGGACTTATTAACATATTAACAAAGTAACTTGATAAATAAATAAAAAACACCAAAAAATATAATTTTGAATTTTCAAAAATTATTTCCACCCCCCAAAAGAGAAAATCATCCAAAATTAATGAAACTTTTCCCCATTTATTTCACCATATTTGAAAAAAAATGTAAAAAACTAAAATAAAAAATTCAGAAAGCTCACTCAAACAGAGACCCTTACAATAAAACCAAATTTTGTGTTATGTGTGCCACAAATCAAAGAATTTAATTCATGAAGTGTCACAACCTATGACCATGGAAGAATATAGATGAAGTTTAGGTTGAACCAAGCATCAAACCAATTGGAACAATAGCAGCCTATAAAATAAACAAAATAGGATGTATACATAAGCATAATGAGATACATTAGAAGAATTGGAATTTAGCATCAAGTGCACAAGGGATACATTAGCATAATGGAAGTTCTAGAACCAACAAGAAAATCTGATATACTTCCAATTTCAATAACAATTGAACTGTGTTTTTAATCCCATCGATTATTCAATTCCATTTTGCACCTATAATTTTGAATCTAAACAATGGTAATTAGACTAAGAGTTTATGAAACCCTAGCTTCAATTCCTTTAATCTGTGAATCAAAAGCAATAACTATAGATTCATACAAGAGGAGGTTGACTAAATTTCCTAAAATACAGGCATAAATAAATAAAAATCAATAAAATAGGTTTTCTACTTTTGAAGTAGAACGCCAAAATTCAAAAGACATAAATTTAGATGTACATACAGAGTCGCATATATTATACAAAGATATATAAAACAATTAAGAATCAAATAGAATAAAAATACTTGATCAATTCACAAATGAAAAGGTTCGATTCAGATGTATTTATAGAGAGAGAGAGAGAGAGAGAGAGAGATATGCATGTGATACCTACTTCTGTTCCACGGCCTTGGAGAGCTCAGCCCTATACAAGCTCTTGAGAACGATGTTGAAATCCTTAGCACGATGAACCAAGCTCTCGCAAACCAATGCAGAGACGCTGGGATGCTAGGTGAGGAGCTGATCGACGTTGAATTGAACGACAACGGCCTTGAGCCGATCGAAGGAAGGACTTTCTCGTCATATTCGAGGCCTAGGGTTTGAAAGATTCGTGGTGAGCCGATCGGCACAGCGACAATGTGTGTGAACCGACGAAATGTTAGCAGCGGCAGTGAGAAACTGTGTGTGAATGAGCATAAGGTGTGTGTGTGTGTGCGCGCGCGCGCGTGTGTATGAAATTAGGTTTGATGGAGAAATTATTGTGTGTGTTTGTGTGTGTAAAAGCAAGCATGAATGTTTTTTTTTTTTTTTTTTTAAACATATGCG